AATTTTTAAACATGAATTTTAAATAAAAATTTAATATTTTATATAAATAATAATTGAAAAGTTTTTTTTATCAAATGAGAGTACTAAATAAAAACTCATGTAGGAAGAAAAAAACTTCTCAATTATTATATATAAATTGTTAAATTTTTATTTAAAATTTATATTTAAAAACTTAAAAAATTAAATTCAATTTACTAAAAATAAACAGAATAAGTATTAAAATATTTATTCATATCATAATTTAAACTGTCCACTTTAGTACAATTCACTACACTTTTTTTTTTCTTAAATAAGTAAACATTACAGCCTTCACGCTAAATAAATATTTGAAAATATATCTCAATTACCTATTCATATGGTGCATTATAAACATTAGGAAATGTAATATTTAAAATAAATTGAGTGCAAATGTGCAATGGCGAAAAAAAAAAAAGGTACTTAATTAAAATATCTCTAAAATAAATTTCATGCGGCTTCAAGATATATTCTACATGCTTAAAGAAGAGAATTGGGAAAAAGCTCAACATTTGTTCGTACTGAAAACATCATTAACATCCAATTAACGTGGAAGACCAAGAAACAAATTAAGTATTATTTTAACAAATTAAGCTTTAATTAGATAAAGCATGATCGACCTGATCCAAGAAAGAGCTCCCCTGCTGAAGTTACTCGAAAGATAATTAGAAAGTGTTTCAACAAGAGCTATTATCGTTTTAAACTTTTAAATTTGTAAACAAAGAGAAATTTCTCTAAATCACTCTATTAAGAAATTAATACCCTTAAGTTTTGGATAGGATCAATAATATTAAAATCTATAAAGTAGAAGTCACACTTTAATACTACTCTATCTATCTTAATATAATAGATGTTTTTTATTTTATTTTTAATTTGGGGACAATCTATTTTTACCCATATTATTCCTATATAAAAATAAAAATAGTTACATACCATAGAATGGATAAAATTTATCGTTTTTAAAATATGAAAACTTATTTTTAGATAAATTTTAAATAAAAAATATTTATTATTTTAACACAGAGGGAATACAATTAAAAAGGATAAAAATGATATTTATAAATTCCTTTTAATATGATTGTGATTTTTTATTTTTAATTCTACTTTTTAAAATTTAAATAATCAAAATTTAAAATTAAAAACTAAAATTAAAAATTAAACTTGTCAATATGAAACTTTAAAACAAATACTCAAAACTTTAAATTTAATTAATTTATAGAACTTTTTAATTTTTATTTTAAAATATCTAAATTTTTAAAAATTAAAATTAAAAACTCAAAATTACAACTATATAAAATCTTAATTTTTATTTTTCTGATTTAATTCTTAATCATTAATATTTTATTCCTATACATTTTAAAAAGATAAGAAAAAAAACTTTTATTCAATTTTTTCTATATAAGACCAATTTAAAGTTTCTTACTAACTTTTACACCTCAAAACTCCCCGATAAACAAAGGTATACAAGTACACTAGGCATCCCCATACCATGTTGGCAAAACCCTCAAATCCACTTTGAAAAAGTATCGACAGATACATTTACCTTAAAAAAAAATAAAGATAAATTGACTCTTCAAATCACAACATTTGTTAGTGCTGAAAACATCATTAACATACAATGTGATGGAAGACCAAGAAACAAAGCATATTATTTCGACATACCTAAACTTTTCCCTAGTCACACTTTTTCTTTAATTAGATAAAGCATGATCCCAGCGGGAGAGAGTTAGAATTAACTAAGAAAGTTTAATCTCATTCTTAATTAGGGAAGCTGTATGCCACCATTGTTCAAGCTGCGACTATATAACCCTGACCTTTTCTACTGATTATAGTTATTTTATATAATTAGAAGAAGACCAAGTCAACAGTAGAATTAACCACAGCTGGAAACTAGTCTCTGAAGACTCAGGCAAATTAAAGATCAAATCTTTTTATACAGTAACTGAAGTGTACAAAAAGCAGCAATTTGCTGCCACATTCAATCAATTAAAACTAACAGTGAAAATCTATTGTACTTGGCACTTTTACAGCTGGCTCAATCCCCTATCTTATTGAAATCAGTGTTTTGAAACCCGAACCGGACATAAAACCATTTTGTTCACCGGTTCTCGGTTTGACCGGTTCAACCGGTTCAACTGGCCGACCGGCCAGGTCAAACGGAAAATGCAAAAACAAAAATCTTGTGTTTTCCGTTTGACCCTGCTGCAGTTTTCTCTTTTTTTTTTCCTTGCAATTTGTAGCAATTACAGGTCCAAAAACTTAATAAATACATTAAAACAAATCTAAAAACTCAATAAATACATAAAGATAAATCCAAAAACTCAACAAATAGATAAAAAAAAGTACCATATAACTACAAATCTCAAAATTAATAAATCTCACATATATATATATGAAAAATAAATCCAAAAACTCAAACTAATATGCAAATAATGCCTAAATTACAATTATTAAAGGTTGGGAAGATGCTCCCATGCTGCATCTGTTCTAGCTCTTGAAGGTTGGACAGTTCCGCAATTGAATTTTGTCCAGATGATACATATTTTTGTAATTCTACAACAAAATAAAATAAAATCATTAAAGCAGCCCAATACAAAACAGATAAGGCTAGAAAAATTGCTGAATAAGTATTTAGATCCATTTCAACTATCAAGAATCTTGGTAATTCTCATAAATAACAAAACCAAAACTGATGGTTAAAAAACTAAAATAAACTTAATTCAGTTTCAAATGTTTATTTTCAAATTTCAGTTAATTAACATTAATTTCATCTATATAATATAATTAAAAAAAATTATGATAATTTGCATTCATAAAGACATACAGAGGGACCTGTAGTCCTCTGCCTATTCTGCTCGATTTGAGGATATAATCTCTAAAAAATTCTATTCCTATGTAATAAAATCGGGGCATTGCTCATTTTCCAAGAAACCAAGCAGCTTTTTGTCATGCTACTTCTAGCTTATTAAAAAAAAAAAAAAAGGGTCTGTTTTTGGTAGCTAAAACCATGACAAAGATCAAGAATAGATTCAAACAGAAATATGCTCTGTAAATAAATATCAAAATGCAGAAATGTAGAGCAAAATACCAACAAATTGTTGCTCTCCAAAATACCTAAACAAAATTCAGATTGAAACAGAAATGCAGAACATGCAAAATACCAAAACAAAATTCAATATACTCTGTATATAAATTGAAACAGAAATGGCGAATATGTAAAATACCAAAACAAAATTCAAACAAAACCCAACAAATTGTTGCTTTCCAAAATAAGCAATAAAAAGATGAGGAATATACTAAACTAAAGCAACGAAATGCAGAGCAAAGCAGCAAGCTGAAAAAATTCAAGCAAAACCCAACAAATTGTTGCTCTCCAAAATAAGCAATAAAAAGATGAGGAATATACTAAACTAAAGCAACGAAATGCAGAGCAAGGCAGCAAGCTGAAAGTGATTCCTATATTACCTGAAGAGAACTGGAGAAGATGAACAGATTGTCGGGTCGAAGAGGATCCAGAGAGAGAACGACCTTCGCAACAAGATGAAAATATGATGAAGAACAAAAG